TGCTAACGATCATCAAAAATCGACATTGGTCTGTGCTTGATGGGCTATTTGAGCAAGAATCGTACGTAGGTTCTTGGCAGCAATGAAAATTTCAGATCGAAAATCTATAGGTGTATGGCCGGCCTTATTGTACAAAAGGTAGTCTAAAATGGTCTGCACAGATTTATTTGTAACCCCTAGAAAAGATTATAAATAATTGGATCTTAGTGATACTTCGAACTAACTAGTTTCTGTAACTAGCATCATACATGTCTTCAAGGCAGCCTATTTAAATACAGAAAAGTAGTCACTCTGCTGTGTGATATATCTTTGTGTGCACCACACTGAACATGGACCAGAGAAAACAAAGTAGAGAGTTGTTTGAGATCAGAAATAAAAGTATAGACCAACATGTCAAAGTTAAGGGCAATAAGACCATCTCCAAACAGCTTGATATTCCTGTCACTATTATTAAGAGGTTTAAGGTCCATGTGAGTGTAGCCAACCTCCCTGCATATGGCCACAAGAGGAAAATTGACCCTAGATTGGAAAGAAGGAAAGTGAGAATGATAGACAAAGACTCGAGCCAAGAAAAAACTTCCAACTGAACTCCAAAGTCAAGGTACATCAATTTCCGATTGCTCCATCAGTTGCTTTTTGAGTGGCAGTTGGCTCAAAAAAAGGATAACTAGGAAGACTTTATTGTTGGAGAAAAACACATAAAAAGCCACACTGGTATTTGCTAAAATGCATATAGATAAGTCACACTACTTCTGGGAGAATGTCCTTTGGCAAGTCGCATCAGCTTTTTGTTCACAGACAAAAAAAAACACCCTACCTACTGTGAAACTTGGAGGAGGCTATATTATGTTTTTGGGCTGCTTTGTTGTGTCTGGCATGGGGTGCCTTCAATCTGTGCACAGTACAATAAAATCTCCAGACTATCAAGAAATTCTGGAGCAAAATGTAATGCCTAGTATCAGAAATCTGTCTCAGTAACAGTTTGTGGGTCTTCCAATAAGATAATGACCCAAAACGCACAGCTAAAAAGGAACTTAAGAATGGCTAAGAAGAAAACACTGGACTATTCTGAAGTGGCCTTCTATAAGCCATGATCTGAAGCCTATCAAACATGTATGGAAAGAGCTAAAACATGCAGCGTGGAGAAGACACCCTTGACACCTGAGACAGCTGGAGCAGTTTGCTTAAAAGGAGAACTATGGGGTTAGAGCTTTTCCCCATAGTTCTCCCAAGGGTAACGGGAGGACACAAACAAGCGTCCTCCCGTCACCCTAAGCTCAGTATAGCGCGTATACTGAGACGCCGCAGCTGAAATGGATCCCGACAATTATGTCTGGATCCGCCCAGCTGCGTGAGTGACGGCTGGCTCTGGCTACCTATAGGCAGAGCCAGCTGTACCCGCCCCCTCCCCCGTCCGTTCCGCAAGTCAGCGCTTGAGGATCGGAGCGGGGAGTGGGGAATCCAGTCCCTCTCGTCACGGCTCTCTGCCATGGCAGGATCGAGAAGTGAGCGAATGCCGGTATGTGTTCGCTCACTTCCCGATCTACTGAGCCGACCTGTGACAGTTTCATTTCACTCATTTCATAGCTAGAACTATGAGGATGAGTGAAAAGCGCTCACCTCATAGTTCTCCTTTAAGAAGAGTGGGCCAAACTACCTGTTGACAGGCACAGGAGTCTTATTGAGAGCCACAGAATTCACTTGTTTGTACTGACTGCCTCTAAAGATTGTGCAACAAAAGTATTGGGTTAAAGACCCCATCATTTTTATTTATGCCATTTTCATTTGTTTTATTATTTACAATAAACTGTGGAATCACAAATCAAAGTCTGATTTGATTGAAATATGATGAATGATGGATGCCAAATAATTTGGTCAGCTTCAAGTCGTTTCAGAGAGAAAAAATGTGGTTTCTTTTTTTCTTCGTGGAAGGGTACCAACACAACGGTCTACAAATGTATAAGTTTAAAAGAAAACTATAGGGTAACCTTTTGATCTCCCAGTTCTCTTTATGGTAAAGGAAAGACATATACTAACCTCCTCCCGTGACCCAAAGCTCAGTATATAGCTCGCTATATACGGAGACCGCCACAGTTGGGATGGATCCCAACAATACTGTCGAGATCCACCCAGCTGGCTTACTGACAGCGGGCTCTGCCTATCTAGAGCAGAGCCAGCTGTGCCCACCCCCTCCCCTGTCCATTCCTCCACTCGGCGCTGGAGGATCGTAGACGGGAGGGGGGAATCCCTGACAGTCACCGCTCTTTGCAGGGAGATGATCGGAATGTGAGCGAGTGACGGTATGTGTTCGCTCACTTCCCGATCAATAGAGCCAACCTGTGGCAGTTTCAATGTCACACGTTGGCTCTAACTATGAGGGGAGTGTAAATAACTCCTCATAGTTCTGCTTCAATGGTGCCTGTCTTCACTACACTGATGTGTTAGATTTAAAAAAGATCTAGCTGTCTGCATTTTCATCCACTGCAAAGCATTCTAATGTGCCAAAAACATTGTGGTGCATTTATTTTGATGAATGTTACCAAAAGACAATTTTTTTTGTTAGGTTGGCCATACACTGCTCTATTTTTTTCGTTCAACCGACCGGCTTCTTCGATCAGCTGATTGAGGGATGCCGGCTGAGAGGGTGACAACAGCAGCACCCATTGTGCAAATTTCGGCCACTTCCTCAAAAACTAGCTAGAATTCACACAGTGTATGGCCACCTTTACAGGGTTTGTCTGTGTTCTTCCATACATAGGGGTCACAATACACACACATATATCAAGTCACATGTGCTAATAAAAGCAGCTGCATGTTATTTGGCCAAGCATGACAACTAACAAAAGAGTTGAACATTAGATGCCAGGCCTGGTGAGAAAAAAAAAAAAAAAAAGCATCATCGAGAGAATAAGAAGGAATGTGAACAGCTTTAGCCCCGTCACATATTCGTTGGGTTGTTACTTTAACGAGGTAAATCAGTGTAGAAAGTAAAGAAACAGCCGATGATTGTAATAATCACTACTGTGCTATGTAATAGACATTACACTTCACACAGGAAGATGTTTCTAAAAGACTGCCACTGATATTAGAAATTGAAAATAGAGCCTTCACAAACGCATTTCATAACCATTTGAAGTACCATATACACCAGCCTTTCTCAACCTAACACAGAGGAACCCTTAAAATAACTTTCCATTGTCAGAGAACCCCTGCTATTTATTACTTTAGCTACAGCTCACAGTACATTAGTGTGATGGTCAGTGGGAAGAATGGTCCTCACATTTGTGGTCAGTGGGAAGAATGGTCCTCACGTTTGTGGTGACTGGGAAGAATGTGCCTCACATATGCAGTCATTGAGAAGAATGCTCCTCACATTTATGGTGATTAGGAAGAATGCTTGTTACATTTATGGTGATTAGGAAGAATGCTTGTTACATTTGTGGTGACTGGGAAGAAAGTTCCTTACATTTGTGGTCAATGGGAAGAATGCTCTTTACAATGATCACGAATGTAAAGAATGCTCCTTACATCTGTGGTGATTGGGAAAAATGCTCCTTAGATGTGTGGCCACGGGGAAAAGGCTCTTACATTTGTGGTCTTTGGAAAGAATGCTCCTCAAATGTGTGGTCATTGGGAAGAATGCTCCTCAAATGTGTGGTCATTGGGAAGAATGCTCCTCAAATGTGTGGTCATTGGGAAGAATGCTCTTTACATTTGTGGTCCCTGGGAAGAATGCTCTTTACATTCGTGGTCCCTGGGAAGAATGCTCTTTACATTCGTGGTCCCTGGGAAGAATGCTCTTTACATTCGTGGTCCCTGGGAAGAATGCTCTTTACATTCGTGGTCCCTGGGAAGAATGTTCCTCACATTTGTGGACATTGTGGGAGAATTCTCCTTCCATGACTGGGAAGAATGCTCCCTCCATGTGTGGTGACTGGGAAGAATGCTCCTTCCATGTGTGGTCCATCTTCCAGATAGATAAAAAGATCATTGGTTTTAGTGGTTACTTATCTGAAAGGCAGCAATTGGTCATTGCTCAAGGAACCCCTTGACACCTCTGGAGGAACCCCTGGGTTTCACAGAATCCTGGTTGAGAAAGGCTGATATACACTGTATTACAACAAAGAATATCAAGGCAGGAATTCACAAATCTTTCTGTGTATTGGGTTTTGCGCAAGTTCTCTAACTTTGGCATTCCTAAACACTGCTGGCAAACCCCATGCAAATGGCCATTTTCATGGCATCTCCTTTGTGGAACAGATTGAAACTAGAACATCTAATTAATCAGAAAGACTCCATGCCAAAGCCACCATCTTATTTGGGCAAGCTATATTTAATTCCTCAATTGCCCACTCTGAAATTAAAAGTTTCCATGTCACACAAAGGCCTTCCAACTAAACCACATCCCACCTGGTCAATAAATGCCCCATACTCTCCAGCGTTGAAGCCACCATAGATTCAGAGGAAAGTAATGATTCTGAAAATGAATACATTTAGATCCAACAGTAAAAAATGGATCACATCTGAGCTGTCAGCAGTACAGCTCTCAGCCAGGACATCTGTGCAGACTAGAACCATGAAACATCATAAACAGAAAGCTGATCCTCCAAGGCTGTGCTGATCCAGCTGCTACTGTATGTGTTTTGTATCCACATCGTTACTGGAACAATATATTGATGGAGATTTAAAGTGAGGACACAACAAAGCAGCCCGCTTAAAATCCCCCCAACTGTACACAAATACACACACACATCCGCACAGTGTACATTTCTGTTCTCCAGCATCTGAATGGCGCCCACTGATCAACAGGCCACTAATAATTCATAAAGACAATTATGATTGAGGATCAATACCTGCACTTATGCCTTTGTATTATTTACATGTGCCTGTATACAAAATCTGTGTGTGCCTCCCCCGGTACCACCTCCTCTGCTTCTCCCTGTGCTCCTCCCCTCAACCCCCCCTCCAGCATACGCACCCCGCCCCTCTTGGCCCGGTACCTGCTTCTCCGGTGCCGCCCCTCTACCTCCACGTTGTCTCCGCCTCATGTCTCGACCGATGCCGCTCTTTATTCCGTTATTCGCACTACACTCGACCTGTCACCCGTTGTTACCGCACAAGACTCCGCCCCCCGGCTCGCTAGACTCTATTTCCACTGGCTCCCGCCGCCGGCGCCTGTCCCCTCCGCCGCTTGCGATTGGAGCAGACAGCTGCCGGTCAAAGCGTCACCTCCTTCTTCCTCCACGTTCAGCACACGCAGGCCGTGCTCCGGGTATTATTTCGGATCTACGCAAAGTGCGTAAATAAAGTGCTGGACGACCACACGGAAAGCGTATCTATGTTCGTGGATATGGAAGACTGTGGAAAGTGTGGTTGAGCCGCAAAAGGGTAAATAAGGTTGCTGGAGACAAAGGACTCTTAAAGGTGCAGACTGGTTCTACGGCTTTTTTTAGTTTGTCCCTAAAACGGGCAAACATCTCTGTGCTCAGCTATTTATTTGTTTAGCACATACTAAAAAAGGAGTGTGGTATGGAAAAAAAAACCTTATGCCAGTGACCCGTTTCAGTTAGGTTACTTTAGTTTTGCTTTGCCAGACAGTGGTCAGAGCTTGCGGTCCTGCTAGAAAAGTCCTGCTAGAAAAGGCAGGCCGTCATTAACTTCTAAAAACTGTATTTGCCTGACTGTCTCTAGCTCTAATACCTTCAAAGACCATGCAGCAAGTGAAGTTAGTGCACCTGGTCCACATTCTTACTTTGGCTCAGTCACTGGATTAGCATGACAGCCAGATGAATAGCATTTTCCAAAGAAGAGGTCCCATTTCTCCCAGAACAGGTAAAGCCGACAGTCGGCTCTACAAGTTTAAACAGACTCCCGGCGGCAAAAGTCGCCTGGAGTCTGTTTAAACAGCCCCGATGCTGGCGACGTACACTGTACGTCGTCAGTCACGAAGGGGTTAACAGATTCAGGGATGGGCCAGTCTGGTTTAGAAAATGTGATCATACATTTGTTTAGGCATTGTTCCTATGCACACAGAGAGTTAAGTAGTAAAAGCTGGGCTGGTCAATCCATAAATGCCCACAGCGATGTGTGTGGGCTTGGTGCGTAGCCAGTTTGCCCAATCCCATGCAAAATTGTCAGCAACACACGTGTCCCAGCCCAATCAGCTGCGGTCTGGGCAGATTCTTTCCAAATTCCAGATCTGCGGATTGCCCCATGCCGCAGCTACAGGTATCGAAGGAGCAAGGAATGCCCCAGCCAAAACTGATTGAGCTGGGAGGGGTGTGTGCCACTGGCTTCACACTAAGCCCATGCATATCACTATTTGGCAAGTATTCCAGATCATGCGGCACACTCCTAGGATTTGAAATGGTGGCCCACAGTTTCCCTGTCCTCCAGGATCCATAACACAAAGCAGACAGAATTTGGAGCCGTTGCCAATGGCAACCAATCAGCTTCTCTTTTCAGGTGGTTCAGTTAAGCTTTGAACATGAAACAGAGTAACCCATTGGTTGCCAGGGGCAACTGCTCCAATTTTTACGAAGTTTCCATGGGCAACTGCTCCAAATTTCTCCCCCCCTCTCTAGAGGCAGATCCATCTGGGCCCGTCCCCATCCATTTCTCCAGTCAGTGCTGGAGAGAGGAGGGGGCAATCCCTTTGGGGAGCCATGACTAACAGTCTTCACTCTCTACAGGGACATTGTGAACTGAGCGACCAGCGGTTTGTGATCGCTCAGTTCTCGATCTATAGAGCCGACGTGTGACAGCTTCAGTGTCACATGTCGGCTCTATTATGGGGATGAGTGCATTTCACTCTCCCCATAGTTCTCCTTTAAGGTGGTCTAGTCATCTTGAATGGGGTGGCATGGTACTTCAATGCACAGAACAACAGACACAACCCTTTTTTAAACTAAACTAAAAACACAGTATTGCATTTTCCAAGGATGTTTTCACTTACCTTCATGAAGGAAAAAATTACCTAATCACGTGCAAGGAAAAAGCATTTTTGCTTGCACATGATTGGATGATAGACTTTAACAGAGCTTCCTTTTGTTTACTAAGCTAAGAAAATAAAAAAGTTATACTCACCTCCAAGGCGGCTGGCTGTGACAGCCCTCCCTCCTGCCTGTCTCCTCCACTGCAGCAATGGAAATGTCCCTCGGCGTCCTCACGTCATGATGACTCCGGACAGGGACCTTAGACCACTGCAGCAGAGAGGGAGAGACGCTCCAGGGACTAGTCTAAGGCCTGGATCACACCTGGGCGTTTTACAGCACGTTCCTACGCGCTGTAAAACGATCAACATGTGAAAACCAATAATTGCCTATGGGCATGGTTCCCACCTGGGCGTTTAACAGCGCGTAGGAACGCGCTGAAAAACGCCCTACGCCCAAAGAAGTACAGGAGCTTCTTTGGGGCGTATTTGCCGTGCGTATCCATTAGGATACAGCCGGATAGCCCTCTTAAACGCGCGTTTGTCGCACGTTTCTTTTACTGCAAATCGCGGTAGAAACGCGCATATTTCGTACGCCCAGGTGTGAACCCAGCCTAAGAGCAGGCCGTCTCTGAGGATCAGGATGAGTATAACGACCACAACAAGCAGTTAACCCTTGCAGTGCAGGGGTAGCCCCACTGCAAGGGTTCATCAAAAAATGACCTGGAGTTAAATATGCATTTCCGTAGTGTAAACAGGTTCTATAAAAATGTATACTTTTTTTTATGTCATTGATTTTCTTGTCAACAGGCCCTAAGACAACACAAAGAGGAATGAAAATGTGAAAGTACAAAATCTACAGGAGTTGATCAATTTACTGTAGTCAACATTCCCAGCAAATGGGCTGACTCTCTCACACAGGTTGTTAGCTTTGTGATACATTTGCTATGACAGGGAACAGGTTCCATACCTTTGTCACATGAGACGGCACTACTATGTTATGGCATGCTAGCTGAAATAAATAAAAAGTCACCCCACTATTTACCTCTGAACCTCTTTATTCCGATTAAAGGTAACCACAGACAAGACAACAGTCTGGCTGTTCTCTTCATTTCTTATTAATTCATTTAACGAACCAAAAATCATCCACAAAGGCAACATTTTCGGCAGAGCAGCACAGCGCACTGTTGTCAGTTACCTTATGTTTGGGTGCACTTTGTACCATTTCCAATGAACGGCACTGCATCGAATGAAGTAATGAGTGTAGTAAGGAGTAATGAGCTGACAGGGAATGGTCACTGGGCCACTTGTCCTTCGTGGGGGGTGGGGGGAAGTTGGGGGGTGGACGGACGCCCATCTCACTGACGTCACTGCGTGCCCGGGGGGTTGGGGCGGGGAGCAGCGT